TTAGCTGACATAGGGAAATATTGTAATGGATCAGCAAGTCTCGGACGAATACGTCCAAAGGGAACCTCAGCCCATACTGAAGTTGTCTTGTGTACACCCCCACATACCCCGGGGGTGGACGATGGATTCTATCGGATGCCACGAGCATTCGGCACTAATACCCATCAGCTTCAAGGATGCCGTAATGCAACTCAATTTGTTCGGCAAACCGATACTGTTCGGCATTCTCCACCCACCATGAGTAGGGGCGGTTCTTTATCATGGCCGAAACTACTTCGGCATCCTCCCACTCTGAAAACCCGGGAAGGATATCCCAAAGGACAGCGGGAACTTCATCGTCCCGCCCAGAAGCGCTCGGCCCCTCCGTTCTCTGAGGAGGAGCCGAGGAAATTGGAGTCGCCCTAATCCCTTCAGCAGGGTCAGACTCTGCTCTTTGTCCATTCCAGGTCCCAATCCTGTTCCTGGGATCGGGAATTGGCCTTGCTCTTCTTGGAGCACGGGCTCTACCCCTAACTCCTCTCGCCATTGATAATTTCGAAGAAAAAAAGTCGAAAAAAAGGGAAGGAGTTCAAATTCGAAGAAAAATAAACTAAAATCAAAGGAATTTACCTTAATCTGAAGCGAAAGTTGCCGATTTACGAATTGGTAGTGGCGAGTCTTAGTTTCTAAGCTTAATGCTCGGGGAATTTGCGAAGTTTTGATGCGGGTTCCTGGGTTCTCTCGAGAATTCTGGGTTTGTGTTGGTGAATAAGTGAGGAGAGATGACGCGCCTCTAATTATATCTCCAGAAATGGGAATACGGGGAGTCCGCGTTTCAATTTCTCTTAAATACCCCACTAAGTAACCGTTAAACACACGACCTTGCGATTAAACTGCCCATTATCCGTCCAACTTCCACAATTATCCGCCTTAACTGTTGTTATCTCATTAATTACGGTTTAATTACGGTTTAAATTCAAATTTTTGGATTAATTAAATCATTCACTTCCCTCCTTTTCTGATTAAATCAAACCCGACCCGTCATCCTTCCAAATCGGGTCTGGGGGGCAAGTTGTTTGGGTCCAATTTAGTCCAATTGGGCCTAGGCATTAAATGATCCAATTAAAAGCCCAAGGTCAAGGTTCATCTCTCCAATTGTGCTAAAGTCAAAGATCAGTCCTCAAGGCAAGCCAATTGGGTTAAGGCCCAACTTCTCCATATATGCAAAGGTATAAAAGCCATCAATATTACATTTGTACATTCATTCAAGCAAAACCTCAAGTAATTAATTATCTTGCATAGTGTTCTCTTTCTACACACTGTACTGACTTTAGCATCGGAGGGGCCTTCCTCGGCAACACCCCCGAGGCTAGTTTACGTGTGTTTACTGTGCAGGAAACCTTCGGCCCAACATCACTTGGACCGAATCCAGTCTTCTCCACTTCATCGGACCTTCGACAAGGTCCCATTGTTTTCACCCGAAACAGGGGGTAGTAATTACTAAATTAAATAGACCTCTCTTTGTTAGGTTGATTGAAAACAACACCATAAATTTTCAATTCATTGTTTGAGCCTTTTAACGTCTTATTAATATTATTTTTATACAAAAAATTACACTCTCATGTTGTAGAACCCTACGTTAAGGAACTGTCCGGGCCGTCTTAATGGATAAGGAGGCCCAAAATTAGTGTTGGAAATGAGGTTTCCTATTTAATAAATTAAATTAATGTGACACTTTTAAAGGTCATTTTCTAGACCTTTGAGGCTTTAATTAATTAAAGCTACAAAAGTTAAACGTTGGACGACTAATTTGTTATTTTTGTGGTTTTGTTGTCAATTTTTTTTGGTGCTAGCCCTTCTTCTGCAACCCCAAAATAATTGTTTTAAAATTTTGTATCTTTCCTTTTGCTTGAGCTATTAAATTCACAACGACACTACCTTGATGGGCCAATTTAGAAACAATGTCACACTTTGTCAACATACAAATTCATATATGACTATATAATATTCCGTAGTAAAGATTATAAATAAATTGATATTCTATAACTATTCCAATACTAATAGTCTAATACTATTCCAATACCAATTTGATTTTTTTTTTTTTTATCTGATAATATATAGATATATTTATATGAGTAATATACTTTCTAAAATGAAATTAAGTTGAAAATTCATGACAGAATTATGCATTAAATCGGTGTAATTAATGTTATTTCTCTTTTAGCTTCTTATACATAGCCCTCTATCATTTTCTTATTTATATATATAAGTTTAAAACTCCATTTATATGAATTATTTCTAACTAATGTTGATTGCAACAACTCAAATTTAATGTCAAAGTTTTCAGTAGATCTTGTATTGCTATATCGGACAATAATTATGTCATTCACAAATCATGTATTACGTACGTTATATACATATATGATTTTTAAAATGAAAAAACTTAAAACAAATCTAATAACTTTAAATGCAATGAACTCATTCTAGCATTTATACGTATGTATTCACCAACTACACTACATATATAAATTCTTACAAATATATAGTCTTTGTCAATATCTTAGAAATGTCAGTAGAAATATACCAGTCAAGGTCTTAAGGCTGTTGATATCCATTGAATATTAAGGCCCTGTTTCTATTCACCTTATTTCCACTTATTTCAGGGTTAATAAGTTCAGATAAAATAAGTTCAGGAAAAATAAGTTCAGATAAGTTGTGATAAGGGTTATTCAGGACTACCCAAATTTAATTTATAACTAAAATAAGTTCTAATAAAGGCTAATAAGTTCTATAAGATTAGATAAGTTCAGATAAGTTAAAATAAGTTCAGATAAGTTAAAATAAGTTCAGATAAGTAAAAATAAGATGAATAGAACGCACCCTAATTGCTTATAGATCTTACAATCGAGAAGATCCAAACATCGTCAATAAGTTGATTTTTGTAATTAGAAATTAAAGACCATATCACCCAATATCAAATACCCTGTTTAGCTTTTGTCAAAAATCGATGAAAATATTCAGTAGTCCATATTTTAATATGGAGTAGTTGAGAAGGAACAAAAAAAACAAATTATGGAATAAATAAGCCAACTTACTAGATTTATTATTTATAGGGTCTTAATAATTATTTAAGGGAGGTTAGTAGGTATAAATGGATAATAGTCCATATGTAGTAAATTGGATAAGGTGTTACAGCTGTTATGTGTTTACTAATGTCATAAAAAAAATTAAAAAAAAATTAAAATTAAAATTAAAATTAAAATTAAAAGAAAAAATGTTGAATATAGGCCATTTGATAGTTGCTAATCTTGCTATTGCTAACAAGATTTTCTATCAATCTTTACGGATAGACAGATAGACTACAAATAAAATTCATACTAGCCTCCGTAATTTGGTGAACTTTGAAAAAATAGTCCCTTCATTTGAGATTAAATACTCATGTAATCCAAATTTAAGTTAGCAGTAAAGTGATGGTTTATGATTGGATTTTAACTTTTAACAATTTTCGAGTGATAAAAAGTATAAGGTTAATTAAAAAAGAATTTTTTTTCACGTCAAAAATAAATTAAAGAATTAAATCATATTATATACAAGTACAAAGTATTCATTTTGAAGGATTACAAATTATACAATTAGCTACCATTATATGATCACCTATTAAAAGGAAGATTTTATTGGATTTGGATAATAAACTCATAAAAGTGCTTAGCCTAGATATAGGATGTTACATGTTTCAGCATTATCTTGGATTTGGGAGAAAGTATACGGCTCTACCTAAGCCTTAGGCATATAGAAAAACAAACATTTCTTCTTTTTACCACTTCTTCATAATAACATCAAATAACATCAATTAGCCAAAAGTGAAGATGATTGATAAGAGGTGCATATTGAATAACCAATCACTATAACTTGCCGCTTGCAAATACCAAGTAATTATAGGTCTTTTAATCTATATCTCCAAACTTTTCAATCACTAAATCAAATTCCATCAAATATACTTTTGATATCGTAAAAAAATAAAATAAATAAATAATAATAATTAAAAAAAAAAAAAACACTTTGGGAGTATGGATGTCTTCTTCTACCTCACTCTCAAAATACCCTATTTTCTAAATCGAATAAGCTTTACCTTTACGAAATCTTGATCCAATAACACGCTACTCATTGGAAAAAAAAAAGTGGGGGTATGCTTTGCAATTCTATGTTGCCCAATTGCCTAAACATCACGTGGTTTAGTCAAACACACTTTGTATGGTAATTGGTAAATGCCATATTTGAAATTTTCAATTGAACTTATCAAAGTCAACTTGTTTTGACAAATAAATCTTTGTCGAATCATATTCTAAGGCCTATTTCACCAAAAAAATATTCTAAGGCCTGTAAATGGTAGCGAAAAGTAAGCCCAAAATTAAAACTTTAAATGGATTTAAATATTTTTCATCCATTAATTATAGTACTCCGCAATAATGATTACTACTAGAAAGAAAAAAAGAAAGATGTCATTTTGTTTCAAAACAAACACCAGAATCAAATTATTTAGGGAAATTTTTGAGGCAATTTTTATAAGAAAACATAAGTCAAACATATAACTAAAATTTTGCCCAAATATTCAACGAGGTTCTGCTCAACAACACTTCTGCGAATTTACATGCTAGACATTGCTCAACAAGGATGTTAAACTTTACTTTGTATCAATGCATTCTTTCCATTACTTCAATTAATAGTGAAGCCTAAAGAATTCAGAAAACAATAAGGTCCAGCTACTGATTAGCAACCCAGCGGAAAAAAGGATGGGAAGATATGGTTCTCTAAAACGCTTTTTAAACGGCCAAAGTTTAGACCAGTCGAGTACAAATTTTGAACTACCCAGTATGGTTCTCTAGAACGAAAATTGTAGTTATCACGAGTGCATAACTCTGGCACACCATTACTTCATTTCCATACTGTGTTATCACAGAAGAATTTTCTCAATCACTGGCAATCTAATATACAGCCAAACAACCAGGGGCCTATCCGCCATCTTTCCGCAGAAAGGATCTATATTTGACTACATGAAACGCCTAAGCACAAGCATGACAAAAATGAGAAAGGCCAGATAGAACAAAATTAAACTAAATTAAAAAGATCCATCATACTGTGAAACACAATTGTTGCTGACAAAATCAAACATAACAATTTTTTTGAAACATAACACCTAATATAAGATTTGAAACATAGAAACAAGCAAACTTAGTCATCAAAGAGACTGAAACCAATGTCATCATCTGATTCCTCTTCAGGCTCTTCCTTCTTCTCCTCAACAGCAGCAGCAGCACCTGCAGCTGGAGCAGCCCCAGCAGCGGGAGCAGCAAGAGCAGCAAACTTGCTAGGATCCTGTACCACAGAAATAGGAAAGAGTATAAAAAGGTTATATCTTTACTTTAGTCGTGAGTGAAAACCAATGACTGTATAGGAAACAATCAGAAAACAAACCTTGAGATACTCCTTGACTTTCTCAGCCTGAGGGAAGTCATAATCAGTTGCTACAGCAATAGCCAGAACATTCTTGTACCCATTGATAAACATGTGGGGGGCAGCAGCTAGAGTTGGGTATGAGATGGCAAGAGAAAGAGAAGTGACCATTGAGACACCAGTTGCAAACTTTGCAAGAAGGTCATCCTCAGTAAGGTCAAGAACTTCAGGGCTGAAGACAGACCCATCATCATAAACTGACTCAATGTTAAGACCGTATGAGAACGGCCTAATTCCAAGCTTTGCTAGTAGAGCAGCCTCAGATGAACCCACCTTGTCACCCTTCTTGATGAGCTCAACAGCAGTGATGATTTCTACAGTACCCTTGTTAATCTTGGTGGGGATGTTGAGAACCTGGAGATAGAAGTATGAGACAAAATGAGATCATCTTCATAAACAAGAGAGACTTGTTAAACCTATCAACTGCACAAACCTGGAAGAAAGATGTCTGGGATGGATCAAGACCAGTGTTGCCTGGTGGGACAACGACATCAATTGGTGCAACCAAACCAACACGAGCAGGAGCTCCAACCTATTCACATCAAAAAATGATTTGAATAACAAATGTTTGATTAACTACAAAGCTGTAAATAAATATATCAAAAGCATACTACGATAGACTAACAGAATGTCTAGTTGCTTAATCTGAGACCAGTGAGAGCATGATTATAATGGACAACCACACATTTAAAACAAAACTTGTCAAGGGCAGACCAAGTTATTGAGATAAAAATCAATAAGCACAAAAAACTTAAGGGCAGAGCAAGTTATTGAGATAAAAATCAACAAGCACAAACCACGAAACCACACATAAGTAAGAATGAACTATTTAGGAGTAGTAAACGAGAAAGCCTCAACAGAGGGATACAAAATTGTACACACAACATAGAACACCAATATATTATAGAACTAGATTAACCTGGGAGAACTATTCCACAGTAGTACAAAAATAAGCATCAATAAATTCACCAACATAGTTAATTTGTGGAATGCGGGGTATAACAAATTCAGCAAAAGCAAATTCAAGTCCAAATAATGGTGCTCAAATAAGGGATCAACTATACTGTAATTTGGGGGAGAACAACAACAACAACGACAAAGACTACCACCTAATTAAAATCCAATCACAGGTAGCAATAAAAACATCAAGTCCATACACATAGCATACATTAAACTTTTAACGATAAATTTATCAATTACTTGTACAAATACTTCGTGTTAACCTCATATTGATAGTGGGATCCAATAAATACCGGTTCGAATAACTTACACACAGGTTTACGAATTTAATTTACATTGATTATAATAAGCAAAATTATCAAGAGTTGAGCATAATGAAAATCCCAAATTCAACATAACAAAACTACAAGCACATATCAAATAGCACAGAAAACAAAATTAAATGTTCGTAATTAAATCAATGTCAAAACCAATACTAGTTAATGCATAAAGTTAATATCATCTCAACAAAACATTGCAACAACAAAATTAAGTCTTAGAGCATTATATCAAATCAAAAACAGCTAAAATACAACTAAAATCAAAGTAAATTACCTTGTACTTGGAAATCTCCTCCCTAACTTCCTTCAAGTCACCCTTGGTAAAGATCAAACCAACATTTCCCTACAAATTCCAAACAAAACCCAATTAAATTTCATCAATTTCAAACAAATTCCACAAAAAAAAAATAACCAAAAAACTGTAGAAAAAAAAAATACATACCACCAGCAACTGTTCGAGCTTTTTCAGGTTCTCGTTACCAGTGTTTTCAGCATGAAGTCTAATAGACCTCTTCATCATAGTATTCTTTCCCATCAAAACAACTGAATCACCTCTCAAACCACGTCTAATTCCTTGAAGCTGGTTCGAACCCACATTATCAGCTGATGCAATCAACACTTGGCTGTACTCGTCCAAGAGTTGGCATAGCTTCTGATCGTAAGCGATCTTCTTCTCAGCCTTGGTTGGTTTCACAGCCATTTTTGTTGAATTAAGTTGAAGTTTCCGACAAAATCTGGAAAATTAGGATTTCTGTCTCGATTTTTTTGGGGATTTTTTGAGAAGAGAAAAGAAAAAGGGGCAAAATCGAGGGCCAAGACGAAGCTGAAAGTGATGCTTGTCAAGGCGGACAGCGGAACGACGCCGTCTCTTTAACCTCCGGTGGGATTTTGCAGATTAACTAAGAGAAAATTCTACTGGTAATAAACCCTAGAAATGGTTTTGCAGCTAGGAAGAAGACGAAGAAGTTGAAGATGGGGTTTTTATAGTATGAGATTTTAGAGGGAGATTGATTTTAGATGTGACCTAGATCGGACGGTTTGGATTTTCCCGATGGTTTGATCTGACGGTTATGGTGGGTTATTTTGTTTTGGGCTTTAAATGGGTGATTAATTGGACTAGAAAATATAGAAGTTTAAGGCCCAATTTGATTTTATGTTTCAAACCTTTGGCAACCATATTTTTATTTAGTAATTGATGTACTCGTGCAATTGACGAGGTCTTGAACTAGTAGTTGTTAAGAGTTTAAGACCGAGGGTCTGTTCGTGTTTAAATCCTTCGATCTCCATTTGTAATTTATATTGTCTTTGATTCTTATCAAATTTTGAAGTTTTTTGTTTTTTTTTTTTTCCGAATAAATTTTGAAGTTAAATGAAAGTTATAAGGAGATTCTATAAATCGTTTATAAGGGAAACTGGGCATTATGGAATTGGAGGTTTGTGGTGAAGTGTGTTGCCACAATGGCATACTTGTTATTACATAAAATAGACTATATTGTATTTCATGCTTCATTTCACTTGTCTTGATATGATCTAATATTTAATCATTAGATTCACATTAATATGGACTTTTTGAATATGAAGTTTTTGTAATTTTAACTTCAAAATTAAAGATTGTTAACAACATATAAGCGCAAATATGACAGTATCAACTTATCCTGACGTAGTCTTATATATTTGATCCAATAATTAATTCTTAAATAAGCAAATATCAACTAGAATAAATCAAACTAAACATAGCCCTACATCCATCTTTGTCTTTAAAACATAATTTTGTGTAAATTAAGCTCCTTCATCCTTTTAACAATAAATATAATTCTAAAAGCACAAGTTAGACAATGAATATTTGATTAAAAAAAATGCGTTATTTTAGAATTTTTGAAGAATTTGATAACAACATGTATTATCTTAGATTTGCACATATGTACATAGAACCATTAATAAGACTATACAAAATCAAAACTGATAGAGTATATAAATCGATCTTGGGTTTCAACTTAAGCTTATCCTGCCTCTTAATATCATGTTAAAGGACTATCTCAACCAAAAACTAAGCTTATGGTTGAAACCTAGGATCGATTAACATACTCTATAAAAAACAATGTAGAGCAAAGTACAAAAAAAAATTATATTCTAGAAATTTCAGCACTAGCCACTACGATTCATGTAATAACTTTAATTTCTTCGGCAACGAAGCATAGTTCTTAAAACCATCTCAATATCGTTGGCATTGACTATGGCATCCTTTGAAACATCTTGCAGACCCATTCTTGATAATCAAGCACAATACAATTTATTCTTTCCTTTTCAGTGACTTGGGAAACGATTCTTTGGAAAACCATTGTTTTTTAGTATAAAATCATAATCCTAACAAAGGATAAAAAAAAAACCGATTTCATTAATTGTCTATGCTATAATAATATATAATATATTTTGTTAATTAAGGTAAACCCAAAAGAAAAATAATGCATTGAAGACTCCACCTTGATGAGCCTGCTTTAGCATTTTTATTTGATGATGGAAGTCAAACCCTTATTATATTTTGGGCTGCCTACTATATTGTGCTCTTAATTAGGCCCAATAAATGCAGGATTAATATTGGATAAAGTCCACGGTTTACTAACTTTGGGCTGCTGGAAATCAATTTATATTTTTACTAGTTATTTTCAGATTGTTTATTTTCGAATCTATATCTTGAATTATGATAATAATCTGATATGATAATTATCTCTAACTAATTCGGTTGTGCAGGGTATTTTAAGATGGAGATAATTATAAGTTATCTTAACAAAATTCTGTTTTATCAGAATATTTGTTTTAAGGGATAAGTTTTATTTGAAATTCGAATATATGTAGCTATCTTATTGCTAACGGATTTCCTTGAGTTTTGAATATCTGTTTCACGGATTTCCTTGAAGATAGGCTGGATTTTTTCTGTTAAGATGAACGTTGAAATTGAAGCCCAAAAATAGCGCAAGACTTATTCAAGTAACGTTGAAATTCCAACGGCTACTTCAAGTTCAAATCAGAATGTCCAAGTCTTCCATCTCTATAAATAGCGGTCAAGTTTTTGCTAAAGGCATCAACAATTACCTTCGAAGATTATCAAGCTATTTAAGAGTGTTTTCATGTTTTCTCTCTAAGTTCTTTAATACCTTATTATGTGTTTAGATTGAGAGAAAAGAAAGAGTATATCTAAGAGCGAAAAATATTTTATCAAAAGTGAGATATACTTAGAGTAGCCTTATAATACTCAAAGTTTTTTAGGTAGTCTTTTATTTCTGGGAATTGAGTTGCTAAAGTGTAATCGGGTGGTTACGGGTAGAAGAGAGGTGATCTTTTAAGAACTTTAGGGCTCTAAAGGAAGAAATAAAAGAAGTTTAAAATCATATGGGTTCAACAACCCTAGGCGGAGACGTAGGCATTTTTGCCGAACTTCGTAAAAATATCTCTGTCACTTGTCTCTGTTTTATTTGCTTCATTTTACTTACTTTTATTTCTTTTTACTTTGCTTTACTTATTTCTTATTCGTAGTTTATCTTCTGTCTCAGTTTCAAACTTTGTTTTTAAGCCTTGAAGTAAATCTCAAAGCCTTGAAGCTGAATTGTGAAATCAGTTTATTTCGCCTTGAAATTGATTTCAAGACCTTGAGATTTACAGTTTGTGAAAATTAGCCATGCTCTATTCAACCCCCCCTTCTAGAGTATACTTGCTACTATTTCATCACCCTATTGATCCTTCATGCATAAATAATATATGATTAACTCTATGTGCGCTCATGTGTGTGTAATACTGAGATTGGATTATTACTTGATTTATTACATAAACTTGAGGTAATGTACAAACTTTAAGCCATTCACAAGTTGTGCTTTTGAATCCGGTTGCAAATATATTGCATCAAAGCTTAATTCAACATTATCTTCGAGTATGACTTTGCTCTTGTTAATTCTTTTAATTCCTGGTAAAACCTATAATACAAATTTTTTTAAAAAAATAAAATAAAATGTGCATATAAAATATCAAACATATATAAAATAGTACTTTTTAATGGAAGGATTCCAGGTACTTAGTAATTTAACATAATAATGTTATTTACTTATTTAGGATTGTCCATTTTGTCCCCATACAATGAAACAACAAACTATTCAAGGGATGAAATAAAAGTAAATTATATGCTTATATTATTATTGAATAAAATTTAATGGATAACAATCCACTAACAAATTAAAAATTAAAAGTAACTTACCTTGATTTCTCCAGATTGAATTTTGGCTATAGTTCCCACATCGATAACAGGGTTTCTTCCCTTTGTTGTCTTAAGTAACAAAGGGCCCTCATTTTGTCGATAGATTCCATACTTTGACAAATTCCCATATTTCAATTTACTAGCAAGAGTGACTAGAGCGTCCACAGTTGGTAAACTAAAGTACTTTAACAAGTGCATCCCTATAAAGATCATTTCTCTTGCAACCACATGAACCTATATGAACCAACCATCAATAAAACCAATATACATAAGTACATTTTAGTTGTGTTTGTTTTATTTACAAGATAAAAAAAACGTGATAAAAAACTAACTGGATTTCTGATAATAATTGAAGTGTTGGCTCCCGAATTACATAAATCATAACTAATTTCCATCCCAGAATTACCACAACCAACAACCAAAAGATCTTTGTCTTGAAACTCACGACCAGACTTATATTCACTAGAGTGCATTATATCTCCCTTGAAATCGTTTAAACCGGGGATATTAGGGGATGTAACCCTTGCCATTTTCGCTTGTTGCGACTACCAAAAAACTTGCGACAAAAAATTTAGATGCGTTCGCAAAAGTGTCCTTAGCTTCAACTAGCCATTTTCCCTTGACTTCATCAAATGATGCATATTCAACTGAGTGAAAGTATCGCGGTCTAATATCAAGGTTGAAAACATAATCATCAATGTACTCTATGAAATCATTCTCACTCATATATTTCTTGGTTTGTGGTGCATGGGGGTTATGGGGTAATGAGCAAAATTCTTCTGCTAGATGAAGATGAAATCGATCATATGCGCGTTTCTTCCAAAGAAAAGCACAACAATCTTCCTTTTCAAGAACAATATAGGGAATAGATTTTTTGGTTAAGCATGCAGCAATGCCAAGTCCCACAGGACCTGCTCCCACTATCATGACAAAGGTTTCTTCCATAATTTTTTTTAAAGTAATTGTTTTGCTTAGCAAAAGAAGCTATGTATTCAATGGGAGAAATTTGACTTTGGAGTGATTGTTATTCTAAGGGAAATTTGGAATATTATAATTAATGTTGTTAAATTTTCATTTATATGATTAATTTTGTACTGTATGGAGAAAGTGCATTGGCATGTGGTGTTAATAATACATTCTATGATTTACAGAATATAACTTATTAGGATATGTTAAAAAGTATTAAAACAAAAACAAAAATTCCTATATTTTATGTAAACAATATGACAATTAGTAGTTGTAAACTTGGTAAAACAGGGTCATTCTCTCCCTAACCGAGAGCTTCTCTCACTAAGTTGAGTTTTTTTTTATTTTGTTTAATGTTACATGCATCCATGCTCATCAATCTATATATCCTTCTTCGTATCTTTGTTCATGTACGAAGTCTTTTTGGCAAAATCTATTAATCTTCTAACTTTGAATTCCTACAGCCAATAGAATTTGAGATACTTCAATACTCAAATTGTTCAATGATTGTTTTCCCAAATCTAGCTATTCTTTTCTAGTTTTAAGTTCCTTGTTCTAGTTTCTTTGTGACACTTGGATTTCATGCATTAGCCATTTATTTTGGCTGGTGCATCTTCTCTGCCTTTATATAGGAGCATTAAATGCTCAATTTTCAACAGGGTGTGGCTTTATAGCTCCTTTTTTCGTCTTCTTTCTGTCTATCTATGTCCCTTTCACTTCTATTCCTTTTATTTTGTCCTGTGTAATTT